TTATATATATATATATATATATATATATATATATATATATATATATATATATATATATATGGTAATAAAACCTTTCACTCTTTTCTTTACTTTCTTGGGACTCTTGCACCATTTTCTTGTATCTTTTCTTCTATAGAGCACTTTAGGTTTTCTTTTTAAAATATATAAAATTATAAAATACTTAAAACTTAATTGATTATTACAATGAACACATCTTAATTCCAACTTTTATAATGATTATATATAGAGAATAATTGATATTTAATCAATATTTTAGTAATTAATTTTTCCTTAGTCTTTCTACAAAATTACTTTATAATTATTTTTTTTTTCAAATTAGGTTGTGATGGCCTTGGCATGCAAGGGAGATCATGTCTTAAATGGTCTGTATACACGAATCAATACACGACGTATATTGGAGACAAGCAAAATGGTTTTATTTATTTATTATATATTTAAAGTCTTGCTCTATATTTTGCATTTCTTTTTTATTATACTTTGCCCTTTTCAAATTTTCATAACTAATATGAATAGGTTGAAGAATACTCTGGTATGCATTTACAACCTCACAAGGCCATTGTTGGAGTTAATGCATTTCTCCATGCTAGTGGCATTCATCAGGTTAATTATATTCAGTCCATTTTCTACCACATAAAATTGTAAATTATCCCTAAAGACTAAAGCTTTATGTTATTAATTATAATTATTCCAATTTACATTTTTTTTAAACTTGATTTACTTAAGTTACTTGACAATATGGAACACGTATTAGTAAACCTTTTAATTAGTGCAAAAGCCAAATTTCAAAAATAATGTTAGAATAATAATTTGTGTCCTTTGATAAATCTGTGAAATTAAAACATTATATTGTAATTAAATATTCACAAATTTATAGCTTTACATGATGAGTTAGAAGACCTGCTTCATGTTCTTTGAATCTATTACCCTAATATATACTTGGTTTTTATTTTTAGATTAGGATTATCATTAGCGTATAAAAGAACATTAAGGTATTTTTTTATTACAATGAAAATTATTTAGAAAATGTATTAAATATTTTCATTAATTTCCAATTCGAAAATGAACATACAAATTTTTAACCATTAAATATTATTAGGTTGTTGAATTTTTTTCTTGTTAAATATTTATAATAACAATAAATTATATATTTGCTGATAAAATAAACAAATTACATGATTAAAACTTTTTAAACATCATTTATGCAACCATTGTAAAATTCAAAATCAAATTTAACTATAATTTTATTTTGATTCTTTTTGCATAATTGAAGCTCTTTTTATACGTTGGTTTCTCATTTTTCTCTCTAGAGTCAACTTACATGAAACTAGTTTTAATTTTATTCAATTTTTTTTCCTTTGTTGATTTGTACCTTGCAGGATGGGATGCTAAAACATAAAGGTACATATCAAATATTATCTCCTGAGGATATTGGGCATAAAATAACCACTGAAATTGGTATTGTGCTGGGAAAGCTGAGGTATGTAACTTAAGTCTTTTCTTCAAATATCTCTCAATATATAAAATATGGATGAATTGAAAAACTATTCTTTTTTCACAAATTTGATTTTTAATGTTGGTATAATCAAATTATTATTAGAATGAAAAAAAAAAGGAAAAGACACTTTGTACCTTACAAATAATATATGGTTATTGTGTATTAAAATTCTTTACTGTTTTAGAAAATACAATATTTGATGATATGTAGTTAAAGACAAATTTTTCTTTGACGGACAATTTATCAAATTTTTTTATAAAATTAATTGTAAAATAACTTCTTTTTTATAATAAATTTAAGAACATGCAATATAAACAAAGTTAGAAAAAGACGAATTTATGTTTGAGTTTTATATTGGTTTGTCAATATATACTTACCCAAAATATTTCCAATTTTTAATCAAGTTTCACTAAGTACAAAAATGTTACAGAAATACACACGAGTATTATTTGAATATATGATACTCTTAAATGAAAAACTAAGTATTATTTGGACATGCAATAACAATTCAAATATTATTTGGACAATAGTCTCTTGGCTCAAACTTGAGTATTGTTTGGAATCTAACTGTTTTGATTTCAAAATAAAATGATCTAAAAGGTCATTGGATTTTCAATTAATAGAGGTGTAACATATTAATATGGATACAATTAGGGATGACAACGGGTCGGGTCGGGCACGGATAGTGCCTACCCGCAATCCGATCCGACAAAAAAAAAAAATTCACCCGCTACCCGACCCGCTACCCGCACGGATACCCGCTTAAAAAATATCCGCGGGTATTTTAAAACCCGCGGATACCCGTTGATATCCGCGGATACCCGCAAATATTTAAAAAACATATATTTTAATAAATTATTAAAATAATTTAAATAGAATTACAAAAAATATATAAAATATAATATAAATTAAATTAAATTTAAATTCAAATTTAATTAAATTTAATCTTGTAAAATATAAATTAATGTTAATTTTAATTAAATTTAACTTAATAAAATATAAATTAAATTTTTATTTTTATTTTTTGCTGGTAGCGGTTATCCTCTGGTACGTATAGTATAATATTCGCACTCGACCCGTTTATAAGCGGGTATTAAAATATCCGCTACCCGCAGGTTGCGGGTAGTAAATATCCGCGGGTATCAACTATTCGTCGTAGATTTTATCCGTGGACGTAGATTTTTTTGACATCCCTATATACAATATAAGGTTGAACCTTTTAGGTTGTAAATGAACGCAAATAATGTTTTTAAGAAACTTTATAAACAGAGAGGTTTTTGTTTAGAACTTTGATATCACTTTCTTTTTTGTTGACAAGTTTCAACAATGATATTTATCTTTAGCTTATGTCTATCACACATAATATAGAAATACATTAAATGCACTTCAAGCAATATGAATATTTATCTCTTCTTTAGGCAATATTTCGATAGTTGACATGACTTATCAAGCATAGGTCAAAATGATTCTATATCCAAACTTGAGTGAAACATAAGATCGTACATGAAAGATAACTTTTCTAGAGTTGACACAGAGGTGTGGTAGGATGATTACTTATGTGAGCTTTATGAGATCTTCATGGTAGATGTGGGATGAAAACATTATTTACAAACAATAAAGTAAACATATAAAATATTCTGTATTGTGCAACATTCTTAGTTAGACTTAGCTTATTAGATAAAGTAAAGACTACAAGATGTTGTCATGTCTGTTAGACGATACACTTGCATCTTGAAGATGTGTTGTTTAGAAAAACTTACCTATTTTAAACAAAGCGTTTTCTTAATTTATTCGTTGATGCAAAAACATATAATCAAAATTCTTTAATGAAAACTTTCTTTAAAAAGATTTAAAATATATTTTAAACTTAATTACTTTAAAATCATGTGTCATAACTAATAGACTAAGATATTCATACAAAAATTAGTTAACTTATTTTAAATTTCACATATTATATCTATAGGTCATGTTACGTATATTTGTAAATACTTGTATATATATATGTGTCTTATGTAGTTTACATGATATTTCTTCTACATATCAACTAAAAAATGTAATTAATTAATCTTAATAAATGGAATACTAGTTTAGTTTATAAATATATGAGTACAGTATATTGAATGATAGTGATATTTGCATGAAGTTGTCCAACCTAATTTAAGTATTTTAAAATTTAATGGGATACTAATTTAGTACTTCACCTATAACTTTTCTTCATTTTAATTTTGTATTTTAGATATTGTGCAACTTATTGTTGACTGTGTTCTATCCATTTCTATTCTTTTTTTTTATATTTGGTCGTGCAGTGGACGCCAAGCTTTGAGAAAGCGACTAGAAGAGGTATACAATTTTTTTTAGACTGTGAATAGTGTAAATTTTAGGAGGGTAAATAATATCATGTTTAGATTTCTACCCAAATGTAATTTAAATCTTCATATTTATAATCTCATTATATAACTCTTTTCCTAAATACGCTAAATTTAAATTCTATCAAAATAGGTGGTAGTATAAAGTTTTTCATACCATGGTTTTCTTTGTTTGTTTCATACGTATTTATTTCATAATTTCCTTTTCTTACTTCATGATCTTTTCAACTATAACTTTTTTTAAGCATTTCATGCGTCGATTAGAACTCAACTACCGTAGTACATAGGATTCATTATGAAACTCACTTTAATAATACTTTCTTAATGTGTGTGTATATATATACTTTTAGGAAAGAATGTCTTATTCTATTCTATGTTTGAAAAAAAAAATATTTTGACCTTTTCTTATTTAGCAATTATCGTTATTGCATGACAAAAACAACCTATTTATCTTATTTTTCTAAAAGGAATTTTATGAGAGTGAATTTTATACATGATATATTAAAATGGGGGTTTACAATAACTTATTTTTTTCAAAAAGAAGAAAATTCAATTATGCTTTACAAAGAAAAGTAGAACCAAGTACATCAATTAATAAAAACTTCCTTAAAATGTTTTCAATTATTTTATTGAATCACACTGTAAATGCTACCTTATTTACATAGATTATTATTCTTTATTGTTTCAGCTCGGTTATGAACTTAAGGAAGAAGAAGTTGACAGTTTGTTTCTACCCTTCAAAGCAATGGCTGAGAAGAAAAAGGTTAAGATATAGTGATTTTATTTTCTCTATATAAATGGGTGGTGTGTGTGTGTGTAAGCATATTTAGTGACGAGAAATAAAAACTATAAATTTAAGTTATACAATTATATGAAGGATTAAGATTAAAACAGTACATAACTATTTAAAAACTTCAATGCATTTTTATTTTAAACTATATCTTTTCTTACAAGAAAAGACATGTTATTAAAAGCTTTTCAACCTTGGGACAAGATTTTCAAGAAATGGAAACATAATGTGTATTAAAAATTTCCCATTTTAGCAATGTGTGCCTAAAATCTCAGCAAAGCCAACAAACTCACAGGAAATGAGAAAACACAATTGTGTACGCAGTGGGTGAAATGGAAAATACACAACTGAACGATGAAGAAGAAAGCGATGAAAAAAATTAGGATTTAATTGAATAAGCGTAAGGTTAGTTTGGGTATTTCACATAACTGATGGGGTGCAGAAAGAAATTTGAGAGAGGTACAAAAAGTAAATTGTCTAGTCCCAGTGGTTACCATTTATTTTTATTTGAAGAACTTTAATCCTCCAAAATAATAAGTGACCATAATGATAATGCAAAAGCCAAAAATATTTTCTTTTAACCGTTAAACTAGATTGAATTATTTTAATATTTTCTTTTATGATTTGTTGTATTTAATAATATAGGTGATTACAATTCATAGTCTTTCATGCTATGCTACTTACTTTAATACAATAGTTATAAGTGTACTTTCTTCTTGTAGGTTTCATGTTAATATGTCTACAAATCTATTTTGTTAAAATTCTTATTGTTTGATTTCCATTTTGATGTTCATAGGTTGTAACTGATATTGATCTCAAAGCATTGGTATCATATAAAGTTTTCAATGCAGAACCGATATGGAAACTTGGTGATTTACAAGTATACTTAAATTTAAATATGCTTAATTTGAAAAAGATGCTTGATGTAATGTCTTAACGTGAAAATAAATAATATTTACCATTGTAGGTGACTTGTGGGACTTTGGGTCTTTCAACAACAACAGTAAAACTTGTTAATATTGATGGTACTACACATGTTGCTTGTTCAATGGGTACGGGACTGGTAGATTCAGCTTACAAGGCTATCAACATCATTGTAAAGGTTTGAATTTCATTACCACCTTTTTCACTACTATGTTCATTTGATTTTAAAATATTTCACCAGACATCTTACAACATATATATATAAACATTTAACCCACAGTGTGAATTAGAAGTACACAAAAATTTCATAATTGCTAATTAACAAAAATTGTGTAGCTTTGATTATTAAGACAATTATGAAACACATGATTTTTACTACTAAGAATTTTTTTAACCATGAATGTATATACTTCCTCTTGTAATCTAATTATATAAAAAAAAAACTAAGTTTAAAACATGAAAGCTTTTTGTTGTATTTTCTCCATTTATGTAAGATTATAAATATATTTTTATAAGAAAAATATATAAAGGACGAGAAAGTTTTCTATTTAAAATCGTGGTCATTTTTTTACACAAAACACTTAATTTTTCTTATCTTTGAATGTAACTTTAAGAATATAAAGGATTATGGACTATTTTATATTTATCTAAATAAAATTGATATCCACTCATTCAAATATATATATATATATATATATTACACAAATAAAAAATATGATAATATTTAACTCGAATACACATTTAGGTTTAAAAAAATGTTCTTCTATATTTATTCAAGTGGCTATCAAAACTTAAGTATTATCTACTTTTATATAATGTATGATTATTAGTTATTGCAACAACAAAAACATGAAATGGAAAACTAATTTAAATAAATAATCTATTAGGAGAGGCATTGTTAAGAAAGGAATGAAGTCTATCTAGACACCTAAAACTAAAATAATTCTTGTTGTAGATACATATTGCCATAAAAACTATCTAACAATTATTCAAAAGAGAGTTTAATGTTCTAAAATGTCATGGGTTTTTCAATATTTCTTGCTTCTATTTATTTAATGGGATATGTAACACTCTCTTTTTTATCATTCTTATTAAGGGGTCTGACATTTGTGTCCGATCCAATCTCCATTGGCCAATAAGTATAGTCTATAGGTCCTTCCATGGTTTCAAATGTTAATTAAATGACTTTTTAAGAAAATCACAAATAAAATATGACATTATCAATATAAAAAAGGGCACACATTTTCTTTTCTTTAATGTCACATATCAAATAATAAATTTTAATTGTTTAAATATCTATTTTTAATGTCACATATCAAAGAATAAATTTTAATTGTTTAAATATCAAAATAAAATACTAAATAATAATTACCTACATGTTATACATTTTCAAGTAACAAGAAAAGCAACACATAAAATATTAAAAAACAATAAAAAATAAATGTGTGTCATATAAATGATTTGATTCAATGAATTTAAGATTTTCATTTTCTAAAATACAATACACTGATGGAATTGTAGAAAATAAAAGAAAATATAGTCAAGGTATGATGAGAGAAAAAATGCCTTAAATACCTGAAAAAAATTGATGGATATAAAATGAGTGAACCATTGAGAGAAAGAATGAAAAAATGTGTAGAAATTTTTTTTCTTCAAAATGAAACAAAACTAATAGTAAAAGGAACAGAGAAAATAAGTTTTGTAGGTTACCAAATAAATCAAGGGTTACAAAATTGACTACTTGAAATTGGGAGTTAGATGTTGTCATGTTAAAAAAATAATAAAATTATACAAAGGAAAAAGGAAAAACAATAATAACCAAGGAAAAATATCATAAGGATGTTAGAGAACTTTTTTAGGGAGAATAAAAAATTGTGTGGCAAAAAAAAAATTATCCAAATGAAAAAAAATTAATGACAAAGAGAACAATGGATATAAATTTTCATGTTACCTAATATATCATGTGTTTTTTAGTAATTTAAAATGAGATGAGTATAGAGCATAAACAAGACACATGTACATATTCATCCATGTCTATATAGCTAATTTAAAACAATATAATATTATTTATACTCATACCTATATTCAATTAATATAGGAATTCTTTATTAGTATAAAAAAAACAAATTTTTTATCATCTGTAATCACTAATATTATAATAAATGACTCCCACGTAGAACAAATTAAAAAAAAAGGTAAATTGAAATTAAAAGAAAGCTGACGCAAAATGTTTTCCTTAATCTTGAAAATATTTTTTGGAAATATGAATCCGATTGACTTAGATTCTTAAGATATAGAAAGTAGGATCATACAATTCGAATATTCCAATGTTACTATTATGATAACATACATCATATAGGTGAAGCAATATCAACCATATCAAAAATATTAAAACACTCAAGGTAAGAGAAAAAGAAAAGAAAAAAGATTTATACTATTTTAGTTACCACTGTTACGACTTATATTTAGTACCCAACAAAAAATTGTGGAATTATTCACTTTGTAAACTTGTTTTACAAGAAATATAAGTATACCTCTCTTCACTACGCAAACCTTTTCTTTAAACTTCTCCAAAAAAATATTTTCACAAACGTACAACCCATGGGATGTCTACTTATTATCATTCAATAAATCATAATTCGGACTACCAACTATATCCTTGGTGATCAATCAATAAATTTGACCAACTACTAAACAAGTCAGCCAACCATGAACCAACCTAGATAGTCAATCCATAGCCTGTAGCGTCGGCCACTGAGCCAACCATCCACCAAACATGTTGGCCTGCCACATACCAGCCTAGATAGTCAAACACTAGCTCAATGAGCAAGCCACCTAGCTCGACCGACCAAATAGGTTAGCCGACTATGCATCGACTTGAATAAGTCAACCATCAGCTCAGAAAGCGGGTCACAAAGCCCGAATGATCACTAATCAGACCATTTGACCTTTAATTTGATTGATCGGGAACGACACCAAAATAAATTAATCCTAAAAACTGATCAACTTAAGGTTAAAGTGTAATTACTCATAATTGGGCTATAATTAGACCAACATTAATCAAAAGTTCACAACAAAACTTATAAATGAATATTTGAGGTAAGAAGGTAGGATACATGCATTAGCTATTGAATTAATTGCTATCTGTCAAACGTTAAACTGAATTTAGCATCGAACTACCTTCTGTAAGTACCATCCGACGTGTTTGGATGCATGAGTGACAGCTCATTAGACAACAATTGGACTTGAACTACACAGCACAACTCGAATATTTGACCTTGACCCTGTTACAACTCAAATTATACCAGCAAGTATATTGAATTGTTGTAGTAAACAAGTGTTATATCCACAAGGATTTGACGAAAATTGCAATGTTTTAACTAGCTTGATCTTTTGTAAACCCATTATGTGTAAGAAATGTGAGTGTGGAATTTGAGAGTGTTGTAAAATCAACTTTAGAACTTGATTTAAACTATCAATAGAGTAACTTTATGATTGAATCATGTTAAAGCTTGAGTTCATAGATTTTTCCTCTCTTGTACTAGATCCACCTCCAAATATGAAGCCTCAAATGATCAAGTTTTAGGAGCCTAAAGCCTAGTATGTTGCCAATTGTCAGGTGTGAAATATGTTAGTGACTGCGTACGACTCACCTACATTACGATTAAGACTTTATTCTAACTACACACCCTAGATCTTTTCCTAGCATCCAAAATCCCATAAGAAAACTAATTAGACCACAACTTAAGACTAACTTCCATCCATTCTTAAGTCAGTTAGATAAGATAAGGGATCAATTCATCGAACAACAAGCATAAATCAATTAACAAACTTTAAGCCAAAAGAAAACATTCATAAATGGAAAGTTTAATCAAATACAAGAGTTTAAATATGTTAACATCATGCTCCAACACTAGGGAGATTTAGTTCCTCATAGATGATGGAAGAAGTACAAATAATGAAGAAGGAAACATCTCTTAATCTTCTAAAGATGTGTCTTTTAATTACAGAGGATAGATGTGAGAAGGCTCACTAGAGTCTCACTCTAAAATCACTCTTAGAAAGCCTAGACTGAAGTCCTTCTCTCTCTGTTTTTTCACCTCTCGTAATTTGTCCAAGGTGCTTGTATTTATAAACTTTCATAGCACGACTCAAGTAGTGATTCACGGCTCTAGCCTTGAGGTTTTTTTCCTTATTGAGTTTCCTTTATGGCTTAAGTAGTGAAGTCGTTGGAGCTGCTTGAAATGACTTAAAATGAAGAACTCTTTTATGACTTGAGTTTTAGGTCAAGGTTTGAGGAAACCTTAAGTGGGTTTTCTTCATAACTCAAGTCCTCATTATAGTTGTATTGTGACAAATTCCTTTGAATTTGTGATTTTTTTATCTTATTGTCTTTAAAATGCAAATTTAACTTCTTGAATTCACGTGATCTTGCAAAACAAGTAAAATTGAACTAATTATCATAGATTTTACACACAGTAAAAATAAGATAAGTGCTAAATCAAGCATTTATCAAACCCTATGTCCAAAACATAAAGAATGAAATAGATTGATATATTGAATTAAAAACTTAAATTTTCTCGATTTTAAGAAAAGAAATCCAATAATAAAATTTAATCTTCTTGAAATTTAACGATCTTTAAAAGAATAATTTTTTTTTCTCAAAAATGAGTCTCATAATTGAATTGATATAAAACACTTTTATATGAGATACAATTGACTTTAATAGAGACGTGATTTGTTATTATGTTATTTTTGGGTTTGTATTACTAATATATTATTTATTACTTCAAGTTTTCTTTTCATCAATCAATGATAGACTATCTACGTTTCAACTTATCAATGTAATTGACAAACTACCGTGTAGCTTAGAGGATAACAGCAAACAAGTTTCAAGAATTAATAAACGATTAAATTTATCTGTTATAATAGTTTTTAATGAATGAGTCTTCTGGTTATTCATCATATCTGGTAATTAATTATCCTGATTCAAAATTTAAAAATCTGAATTAAAAGTAAGATAAAAAAAATCATAATCTCCTTTAATCAGTTAAAATAAATTTACAAAAGAAAATTTAGCAAGTTATTTCTTTTCTCCCACTTTCGAAAACAGAAAAGATTACTTAACAAATGAATAATTTTTTATTGATTTATTATGTGTATCATTGATTTTGGTATTGAAAAGAGTTTTCAATAATTTAACATAGTTATGTTTTCAGAATTCATTTGGTTATTTCTAACCCGAAACAATACGAAAATCAAATGACAACAAATACAAATTGTCCTCACACAGTCCAATGGTAATATTTTTTTTTCTAAGATGCTATAATTCGCTAAAGCACATAAACGATATCATTAAAAAGAAAAAAACAACGTAGGACTAATGATTTAATAATAAAAACCACAATCAAAACTCAAAGAAATCAAAAGCCTTCAAGTCTTCCCACACATCAACCTTTACATTACTTTATATTCTTTTATTTTTCACATCTTACTCTATTTTATGTAGGAACCTATAAAAGTTTTGGAATACTCATTGAATTCAATGACAAAAGGCATTGGTATAAGTGCCACTGCACGTGTTGTAATTTGTAGGGAGAATCATTCGTCTACTAATGCTTTCACAAGAGATGCTACTTATCCAACATTTAGGTATGCTAATTGCACAAGTTTATTTCTTTAGTGTTATCTTACTTTTAATAATCTTATGCTTATACTATTTAATTCTTAATTTTGTTATATAGTGGAACTGGAGCAGAAATGGATGTTGTTGTTGCAAGTGTTGAAGCATATCTTGTTGCAGTGAACAAGTTGTTACGATGCAAGGAATCATTTATACATTCAAAATGAATTCAAGTTTTTAAATTGTTTTGAATTTGTGTTAGATTAAAACAGAATGTGAAGAATAAACAGATGTATGTTTCTTCCATTTTTTTTTTAAAGTTTCACTCATCTATGCAATAACATGTCAACACTTGTTTGCTTTTGTCTTTTAATTACAATATAGCACTAAAGTATTATGGTGATTAATTTTATTGTTGGTGAAAGTATTATCAAGGTGAATGATGAAAATCTTAGGTTCTAACGTTAATTAAAGATTACGTACTATAAAACCCTTGTAGGATGATAAATCTGATGAATAAAACTCTTTTATTGTAAAATAAATGGAAGGGTGAGTATATTCTACTCACCTAAAATTCTAATTGAGATAAATTTCCTAAACTTTATTATACAACATTAGTGTGATAACTTAAGGTCATTGATATCTTGCCACAAATTAGATATTTTTATCATTATGTTTAAATTAATTCATCCAATGTATGCAAATAATTTTTATTGTCTTTATGTATATCAGTGATGTGTCTCTTATTTCCCACAATTTTCTCACATATTTCCCAACACAACCCAATTTTCTTTATCCGAAATCTTTTTCACTCTAGGATTTTCCAATAAACTGGAAACATAAACAAATTAAGATTCATGTATTACATAATTTTTTACATACAAATATTAGAATACATGCATAATGCTTCGCGAATGAATTAATTATTTTTTAATAACTTCATACACTCTTCTAATAACATGGTCTCTACATTATTTAGCTTAGACTAATAAAGTTACATAGTTTAACAAAATTTAAACAAAGAAAATTCAAACAATAGTCAAGGGTTAAACACCCAATAACTTAACACAAGAATCTTTGAACACAGAATAACTTAATAAACGTAAGTCTTAAATTTTATATCTAGGATTCATCGTACAACCAACTTGTATAACTTAAAAACAACATTTGTTAAAAGAGTTGCAGACTCTTGTAAACCTTAGAACTTAAGGTTAATGTCAATGATGTCGTTTAGTAAACTAACGAAATCAACCATACTATCTTTTGTTTTCACGATCTATTTATCTGATGATGTAATATTTTTGTATTTATCTTTATTGTTTTATGCACCATGAAAAAGATAAAGATTATTAGAAAAAAAATACAACGCCCTAAATGCTTTTATTGAATGCTCACGTACAACGAAGCTTAGAGCTTAAGCTTCAAAACATGAAGTATATGATAAAGCTTATTAGATTATGAGCTTATGTGCTTCATTTGATAAATGGAGAATTATGTCAAGTTTCACTTTTATGGAAATCAATTACATGATAATTACTACAAGTCAAGACGTTAAGCTAGCATACTTGAAGAATATGGTAAAGTTAAAGTTATGTTGTAGAGAATGCCTTAATTATCTATCTTCATTGAGATTCGTATTAAAAATTCAAGTTTCATTCAAATGTCTCTTATTAAATTACAGTTGAAATATCTCCTAAATTATCTAACATAAGCATATGTCAACTTTGACTCAATTATCTCCTGAGTATAATTTGCATTTTTATCATTCAAATTAAAAAAAATGCAACCTACAAAGGTAAGTACTTTCAACTATCAGAAAAATTATATAAAGAAACAAAGAAAAATTAATGCTTCATGAAACACATTAAATGCTTCTTTCTCAACAAATGATAGCAAGAAAAAGATATTCAAGTGAGTTCAAAGCTACTCAATGGGAAGAAATTTTTTAATAAAGGCGGCTTCTTCTTAAGCCTATATAAAGACATCTTTTGAAGAAAAAGATAAAAATAAAAGAGCTATTATTCACAAGAGTCAAAACTCTACTAAAATTTTCATATGCTTTAAAAGCTTTACAATCATATTTTATGTCACTAGTGCGGAAATGACTTTAGACGTCTATTATTTTGGGTTTTTAACGTCAGATCCTGATCCGACGTCTTTATGGCTGACGTTAATGGGACGTCAGACTCTACAGGTCCGACGTCTTTATAGACGTTGAATTACACCAAAACTGACGTCTAAGAGCTCTATAAAGGTCAGACATGGCACTAACCGACGTCTACTGCAGCTCGTGTCTTTGAGTAGCGTAGTAGCACCTTCTTCCTTTGCTAGTTTCGTCATAAGAAAAACTTGCGTCTTTTGGATCTCTTATTGCATTTCAACCGAAAACCAAATCTGGGTCCTTGCCTAGTTCCATTCCAACCTGCAATGAAAACGAATACGGTGACATGAGAACTAGGCAAGGACCCAGGTTCGATTTTGGGTTGAAATGCTATAAGACATCCAAAAGACGCAAGCTTTTCTTACGACGAAACTAGCAAAGGGAGAAGGTACTACTATGCTACCCAAAGACACAAGAAAAACTGCATCAAACACAACGAAAACTCATTTTAATCGGTTCAAATGGAAGATAATCCATCAAAGACTAATTTAATCAGAGTAAAAGTAAGTTTAAACTGATCAAAAGAGACAAAACGCACCTGGAAATGCAATGTCGCAGAGAGAAAAGGCGAGAAGGAAGACGATGAAGTGCGGGTAACCGCGGGTTCAATTTCTGATTTAACAAGAACCAAGACGTCGGGCACAAGGGGCACCGACGTCTATTCGATTTAAAAATTAATATTCGTGGTGTATATAGACGTCAGACGTAAGGGGTGCCGACGTCCAAAAAAACTTTTCACCTACCCTGTTAGGCCATTTAGACGTCGAATGGCGGGATCAGACGTCTATATGGCGAACAAAACAACTTTTCACCTACCTGTCAGGCATATAGATGTTTGTGACAGGGGGGCCGACGTCGATAATCATATATAGACGTCGGGGATGGAGGGATAAGACGTCTATATGGCGAAAAAAATAACTTTTCATCTACCTGTCAGACATATAAACGTCTGTTAGGAGGGGCACTGACATCTATAATATTATAGACGTCGGGAACCCCCCTAACCGACGTCTATATGCCCAACTTATTTACGAAAATGCCACCAGTCAATAATTTACGTTGATTATTTTGTGATCCGACGTCTATGGAGTGACTTTAAAGACCGATTCTTCACTATTGTGTGTTTAACCCAACAAACAAGTTGAGACAGTCCAACCAATGTATACGTCAAAATATGTTATCCTCTCTCATTAGCTAGATTGTAATATATTGATCACTGAATCTTTTGTTTGAATAAGTTAGGAGTGCTTTTTCAAAAGGATGTTTAGTTAAGCTAGAAGTGTCTTATGGAAAGAATACTTCAAGGAAACTCAACCATAATTGGTTGGCCATCAAAAAATGTTCGAGTTTGACCAAAAATAGCTTGCTAAAAAAAATACTTTGTTGAACAAAAATATATTGGTAAAATAATACATGTTTGTACTTCAAAGTCTAAGTTTGCTTGGTGAAACTTTGGTTAAGAATTAGATGTAGTATATGTGTGATTAGGCAAAACTTTATAACCTTTGTGAGTATTTTTTCTTTCCTTGATCTCTTGCATGTTATTAACTGATAAACTAAATAAAAAAATGAAGGAAAAGTTCAAATAAATTGTACAATTATGTTTTTATATATCATCTTACAAGCTTCTAAGTATTGTTTGATATAGATTATATAAACGATACAACTAAAAAACTATTTAAACATAGTTCAATTTCCCTTTTTGTGTTGTTTTTTTCTTTTCACATGAATAACCAAAAAATCACAATTTAAAAGTGTATTTGGAAGATAAAGGAAAACCCCATTTGGAAATAACACTCTTAATGCTTACTAAGATCATTTATGCATTTTATATTTGTAACTTGGATTTTTCCTATTAATGCTCACTAAGAGCGTTTACTTTTTATATATAACTTAACATTTAGCTTTTAATGTATTTTAAGAGCATTCGTATACTCCTTTGATAGAAAAACCGCGTAAGGCGTGTGAGTGATTTATAGATGTTACAATCAAGAGGCCAAACTTGAGATGCTTTAGACTAGAGTTCAAGCTTCAGATGATTAAGGCAAGACACCAAGCTTGAAATTCTTAAAGCAAGAAGCCAAGCTTGAGATGCTAAAGGAATGTGGCCAAGGTTGATATGCTTAAGGAATGGAGTCATGCTAGGAATACTAAAAGTGTGGAGTTAATATACAAATGCTCAAGGTGTGGAGCTAAACTTGTGATGCTCAAGATGAGAAGTCAAGCTAAACATGTTTTCGTGTNATTAGGAAATGAATTTTTTATTCTTTTAGTACATTAGAGGGGAGAAATATACTGGACATTGCACTGCACCACTTTACAACATCATTAGAGGGGAGACGGCACTGCACTGCACGCAAGTTTTTATTCCATTTTTAAACTTTTGCACATTTTATTTTTAATATTTGTAGTGAAAAAGCTTACCTCACTATGTCGGGAAACGCATCAAATTCAGGAGAAGTTAATCCAAGTGTATCTTCATCAGTTAGTAAAAGTAGAAGTAAAAATGCTCCAGGAAACCGATCTGATATTGGATGGAAATATGGATTTGATGTTAATGGTAATGGAAGAAAAGTGAAATGCAACTATTGCTCAAAGATTGTAAGTGGAGGCATATTTAGATTTAAGCATCATCTTGCTGGAACTAGAGAAGATTCTGAGCCTTGTGCTTCTGTTCCGGATGAAATAAAAAATTTGATGATAAAAGTAGTTGCAGAAGCTAAGAATGCTTCATTAAAGAAAAGAAAGATAAATATCGGTGAAGACGAGGAAGAAAGTGAAAATTTTGAAGGAGGACACAAGGTATTCGGTTTTAAAGGAAAAGAAAAAGTTGCTACTACTAGTAAGGGGGGAGTTCAAGCAACTATAAATCAAATGATGAAAAAAGGATACAAAGAAGAAGTTGATGCTCAAGTTGCTGAATTCTTTTACACCAGTGCCATTCCTTTCAATGTAATTAGAAATCCAGCATTTGCAAAGATGTGTGAAATGATTGGTAAGTATGGAGTTGGATACAAACCACCATCTTATCATGATATTAGAGAGAAGCTCTTGAAACAAGCTGTGAAGAAAACAGATGCAAATCTTGAGGAATATAAGGAGGAGTGGAAGAAAACTGGATGTACAATTATGTCTGATGGTTGGACGGATAGAAAAAGACGTTCTATTTGCAACTTCTTGGTGAATAGTCCTAGAGGGACGGTTTTTCTTTATTCACTTGACACTTCAGACATTTCAAAAACAGCTGATAAAGTTTTCAAAATGTTGGATGATGTTGTCGAGTTTGTTGGAGAAGAAAATGTTGTTCAAGTTGTCACTGATAATGCTGCAAATTTCAAGGCAGCCGGAGAGTTGTTGATGCAAAAGAGGGAAAAATTGTATTGGACTCCATGTGCAGCACATTGCATTGATTTGATATTCGAAGATTTTGAAAAAAATTTGAAGGTCCATGAATTGACCATTAAGAAGGGAAGAAAAATTACAACTTACATTTATGGGAGATCAATGTTGATTTCCTTATTGAAAAAGTTTACTAAAGGTAGAGACCTTATAAGACCGGGTGTGACTAGATTTGCCACGGCTTATTTAACTCTTGCTTGTCTTCATGAATTGAAGGCATCGTTGTTGACCATGTTCAGCTCTGAGGAATGGAAGACAAGCAAGTTTGGAACTTCACAAGAGGGGAGAAAAGTAGCACATGTAGTATTAGATAGCCGATTTTGGAAGAATGTCTCCATATGCTTGAAAGCTGCTGCCCCTCTCATGGTTGTCTTAAGATTAGTGGACTCAGATGTAAAACCTGCAATGGGTTTCATTTATGAAGAGATGGACTGTGCAAAAGAGAAGATTAGGTCTAACTTTAACAATATCAAAAAGAGGTAAATTTTCAAACTTTTACTCATTCAATGTTTAATTACTTATGTGTTAGATTATTTCTGATATAGCATGATTGATGTAGTTATGAAGAGGTTTGGAGAATAATTGATGCTCGATGGGATAATCAACTTCATAGGCCTTTGCATGCAGCTGCCTATTTTCTAAACCCTCATTTCCACTATGAACCTAACTTTAGATCTGATGATGGTGGAGAGGTGAAAGAAGGATTGTATTTTTGCATGAGAAGAATGATACCAGATATGGCAGAAAGAAGAAAAATTAATTTACAAATTGTTGAATTTCATAATGCTAGAGGCCTGTTTGGAATGGAAGATGCAAAAGAGTGTAGGAAAGAGTTAAATCCTGGGGAATGGTGGGACATGTTTGGTGATGGAACTCCAGAGTTGAAGAGATTTGCTATTCGAATTCTAAGCTTGACTTGTAGTTCTTCTGGATGTGAGCGTAATTGGAGTTCATTTGAAATGGTAATTTAAATTATTTTTAATTTATAAATTCCTTTATTATGTTTATATCTTCACTAAAAATATTATCTTTCATTTTAGGTTCATACAAAGAGAAGGAATCGTTTACATCAAAAAAAGATGAATGATTTAGTTTATGTGATGTATAACTCCAAGCTGAAAAGTAGACAGATTCGAAAAACTATAGCTCTTCCATTTGATGACATAGAATCAGATGATGAATGGATAGCTGAAGAGACAGATGATGTTGTTGAGATTGATCAAGTTGAAGGTGAAAATGATAGTGAAAATGTTCACTTAGATGGAGCAACAACAGATCCTGTTTTAGATGCTCTTGATCTTGATAACATAACATTTGAGAACAATGAGGATGCACAAGCACAACATTCATTAGAGGAAGAGTTAGATGATGATGATGATGGAGATGATGATGCCATTATTAGAGGATTAGAGGATTAGGCATAGAGACTTTGACATTTCAATTTATATTTTACATTATATCTTTATGAACAATATTTCTATGAACTTATGTATTTCAATTTATATAATTTTGTTATCTTATTTGAATTAGAATGTTATTTATATTTTTTTCATACAAAGTAAACTCTTATGAGTTTACGAGTCGAGTTTACAAGTCGAGTTTACTGGACTCTCACAAGTTTACGTAAACTCTCGAGTTTGACAACCTTGCCGACGTCTATTCGATTTAAAAATTAATATTTGTGGTTTATATAGACGTCGGACGTAAGGGGTGCCGACGTCCAAAACAACTTTTCACCTACCCTGTTAGGCCATTTAGACTTCGAATGGCGGGATCAAACGTTTATATGACGAAAAAAAACTTTTCACCTACCTGTCAGACATATAGATGTCTGTGACAGGGGGTCGACGTCGATAATCGTATATAGACGTCGGGGATGGAGGGATAAGACATCTATATTGCGAAAAAAAAGAATTTTTCATCTACCTGTCAGACATATAAACGTCTGTTAGGAGGGGCACCGACGTTTATAATATTATAGACGTCGGGGACCCCCCTAACCGACGTCTATATGCCAAGTTATTTACGACAATGCCACCGGTCAATAATTTACATTGATTATTTTGTGATCCGACGTTTATGGAGTGACGTTAAAGACCGATTCTTCACTATTGTGTGTTTAACCCAACAAACAAGTTGAGACAGTCCAACCAATGTATACGTCAAAATATGTTATCCTCTCTCATTAGCTAGATTGTAATATATTGATCACTGAATCTTTTGTTTGAATAAGTTAGGAGTGCTTTGTCAAAAGGATGTTTAGTTAAGCTAGAAGTGTCTTATGGAAAGAATACTTCAAGGAAACTCAACCATAATTGGTTGGCCATCAAAAAATGTTCGAGTTTGACCAAAAATAGCTTGCTAAAAAAAATACTTTGTTGAACAAAAATATATTGGTAAAATAATACATGTTTGTACTTCAAAGTCTAAGTTTGCTTGGTGAAACTTTGGTTAAGAATTAGATGTAGTATATGTGTGATTAGGCAAAACTTTATAACCTTTGTGAGTATTTTTTCTTTCCTTGATCTCTTGCATGTTATTAACTGATAAACTAAATAAAAAAAAGAAGGAAAAGTTCAAATAAATTGTACAATTATGTTTTTATATATCATCTTACAATCTTCTAAGTATTGTTTGATATGGATTATACAAACGATACAACTAAAAAACAATTTAAACATAGTTCAATTTCCCTTTTTGTGTTGTTTTTTTCTTTTCACATGAATAACCAAAAAATCACAATTTAAAAGTGTATTTGGAAGATAAAGGAAAACCCCATTTGGAAATAACACTCTTAATGCTTACTAAGATCATTTATGCATTTTATATTTGTAACTTGGATTTTTCCTATTAATGCTCACTAAGAGCGTTTACTTTTTATATATAACTTAACATTTAGCTTTTAATGTATTTTAAGAGCATTCATATACTCCTTTGATAGAAAAACCGCTTAAGGTGTGTGAGTGATTTATAGATGTTACAATCAAGAGGCCAAACTTGAGATGCTTTAGACTAGAGTTCAAGCTTCAGATGATTAAGGCAAGACACCAAGCTTGAAATTCTCAAAGCAAGAAGCCAAGCTTGAGATGCTAAAGGAATGTGGCCAAGGTTGATATGCTTAAGGAATGGAGTCAAGCTATAGGAATACTAAAAGTGTGGAGTTAATATACAAATGCTCAAGGTGTGGAGCTAAACTTGTGATGCTCAAGATGAGAAGTCAAGCTAAACATGTTTTCGTGTTTGTTAATAAAAATTGATCAAGGCATAATATTGAATTAGAGATGCTCAACGTATAAGGCCAAGCTAAGGATCCTCAATTTTCAGAGGTAGGATAAAGATGCTCAAGTCCTAAAGTGGAGTTAGAGATGCTTTAGTTTTGAGGTTAATAAAAACACATTTTCTTGCTTATCACTTTACTCAAGATAGAAGGTCTGAAATAATCAAGGTGAGAAGCTAAGTTAAAGAACCTTAACTTAGTGTTGAGCTATGATGATCAAGGTGTGAAATTAAGATATAAATTATCAAGGCGTGAAATTAAGCTAGAGATGCTCTATTTTGAAAACCGTGCTACACATGCTTAGATAATTGTCAATAAATAATATATCAAGGTATGAGGTCAAATTATAAATGTCCAATGTGGGATCAAACAAGAGATGCTTTAAGCATGGAGTTGGGCTAGAGTCACTAAAGATAATGAACCTGAGCGAAACATGATCAATGGTAAATAAATATTGGTTAAACATTAAATAATAGGTAAGTTGACAAGTTGTTAGACATAAATAGGTTTTGATAAAGTAATGTACTGATATTCAATGTCGGAATTATTAAAGGTACTAAGTTTCTCTAAAATTTTTTATATAGATCATAACATATGTCAATTCTTAGAAGACACATATTCATTATATACAATCTATAATATTCTACCAAACAAATTACCTTTGGGATTTACATACGATAACGTTAATTTTTACCATTATTTTTTTATCTTATATAAACAAAATTAACTATTTTCTAACTTTTAGTCTAGTTAGTCTTCATTTTTATCTTACTTTTGTAAATAATTATATTTTGGATTACACTAATCTAAATATACCGTTAATCCTCGTTATTTTGTGTCTAATTTATGAACAAGAAGCTCTTATTTCAAACCAAAGAAGTAGGCAATCCAAAGAAGAAAAAAGGGAACATAGTAATAAGGATAACATTTTCTTTCACTTGGCAACCCTACCCGACCCTATTACAACACTAGCTCTTGGGTTAGACCCTACAACCATCTGAATGAAAGGAATATGCCTTGTAGTAATGGCTTCACACTAAAACCTTATAACATTATATTTATTGACTTAGCCCTACAAAATTAACATAAGTAATCATATTGGAATTGCCAAAAGAGCTATTGGAACCCATCAACACCAGAATCATCAAATAACATGAACCAAGGAAACTTATCCTACCTAAACAACATCTTCTATTAGAAATAATGGATCATACCACACTGTCTATAAAATTGAATGCCAAACTAACCCCTACTTTAAGATACACACATCATGATAATAACAAGAGAATACAATCAGACAGGCCAAACCGTACTAGGTTGGAGTACATAGGTTGACATATTGATATTTACGGTTTAGATTATGTTCTCTTCCAAGTTCAACGTTCGTAACTGTCTATTAACTTCATCTAACTTACGTACTTATGTGGCTTTAGATACTAAATATTAGTTTCCAAACTTAAAACAATAAAAGGGAAAAAACATTTTAGTCCCTTAGCAACAATATAGTTAAAGGTCTTCGTAAATCTAATAAATAACAAAATTTATTCTCTAGTCAAGACAACAACTTAACCCATGAAAGAACTCTCACCAACTAAGTTATACCACATCTTATAAAAACATGCAATTCCCATTCAAACATACTTAAATCTTATTACAATATCACTTCTAAGTTTTACATTTTCTGAAGTCATATAACAAGTCAATTAAAAAGTATATTCATAACTCAAATTATTTAAGCCACAAAAAGATTTAATCAAATAGAGTCGAAGTATCATCATAGAAAACATATTGAACCAAAAGTCAGTGTAACATCCCAATATCTCACACTGAATAATTCATAATTTATATATTGTAACATTTCATTCACGGTAACATCTCGAAATCTCACACTTAAAAATTTATAGTTGATATATGTCTATACATATTTTAAACTCAGATTTCAACTATAAACTCCTAAATATAACTCGAATTCTTCTAACTTATTCTTCAATCTCTTTCTTCATTGGTACTGGATCAGACGACATTCCTTCATCTACTCCCGTATAACGAATTATACGATCATCGTACATACCCAAACACAAACAAGTAGGGTGAGCTAACATGCAACAAATCATTTATAAAACATGCATAATTGCTTTGATACTAACATCATATAATAATTATGTCATACACCCTCAAACCATCATACCACAATTCCTATTAAACACTTGTTCCACAATACCCAAAAGACACTCATCCGGATGATACGTTGATGAGCGGTCACGGGAGGTTATGCATTTGTGATGACTTCTACTTCTTCTTACAAATACACTTCCAAAATACTCCACACCATTCACAAGGTTAGTCCTCAACACTATGTCCAAAAACGGCACATAGACCAGGACTTCCTGCTCCTCTCACCACATAATTTATCCCTCTCTACTTGAGACTAGATGATTATTAGAGTATCAGGATAACCTCCAACTACAGGACCCTCAACATCAACATATACACAATTACCACATCATTACAGAATCTCTCCACGAGACTCATACAATGCTCACATTCCTCAACTCACATTATACCATTACGAAATCTCCCCATAATACTCATATCATGTTCAGGCGCATAAATTCAAATCCAATATAATAAATTACAATCAACACAATTAAAATTCATAATTT